TTCCTTGGCTGCAAGTGAAACTAGGAAAAACAAGAGGACTTTACTTTTATCACTGTAGCAAGCACCAGTTGTTTTCTGCTTGGCTTTATGCAACCAAAATAGAGCAGAAACAATCCTCTGAAGATAGGCACGTTCTATGGTTTACTGATTGACTGGAATTCTTATTGACTGGAAACAACGTACTTACAGCTTCACATTATGCTGTCGGGTTTTGGCTTTTGAGGTGCGTGATGTGGTGGGGGTGTGTCATATTGCAGTTCGAGTCAGTACGGGGTTGATTTTGCAGTTTAGACATGGATTTCCAGTGTGGCTTCCTAAACCTGCCCTGGTCCTGAGGAAGCTGCAAGCCTCGGGCCCATATTGGGATGCAGAAAAAAGCAGATCGGCCCTGGCTGCTTTTGCAATTCACTTTATCCTCTTCTATTCAGTTCATTTAATGGGCAAACACACTCTCCATCATTCGGTCACTTTCTGTCCCCTTCTCCAAGCAAATTCATTTGTTTAAAATCCTAAAAGGTGGTATAAGGTCTTATTGAAACCCAGCAACGCAAGGGGTGGGAGTGGATTAGATTCCTTCATTTCCTTTTGGTAATCCTAAATGCAGCTATCTCTGGTTCCGTAATCTCCTCTAGAGTCGGATTACCACCCATTTGAGCAAGTGCAGCTAGAATTAGGGGATGACAAGCATGCAAAGAAAGCGCCAAGAGCTCCTGAGGTGACAGAGATGTCGGGGTGGCTCTGGCCACCCCGCAGCACCCTGGTGTCCCCCTGGGCTCCCCGGGCGGTGCCGTGGGGTGACGGGGGCGGCCCTGGGCAGGGCAGTGCCACCGGCCCCGGCGCAGACCGGCCTTTCTTCTCGCCGTGGCTCCGCAGCGGCAAGGGCCACCGCTGGGTCGCTTTGGCGCTTCATTTGCCTGGTGACGGGCTTCTGCCAGCCCTGCGGCTTTCTGACGAGCCACACTGCCACACACCAATATGTACTTTTATATATATACATATAGACACATATATACATGAATGGATGTTCCTTCATCCGCTAGAATAAAGAATAGACATAAAATAGGCAATAAAATGAGGAGCGAGTACAACCTTGTTTATGCTTATCTCTGTCCACCTGGAAAAAGTAACCCTGCATGAAAGCACACGTTTGTGTGTGCGGTCATTTTTTGAAACAATCCCGCATATTTGATTGAAATGGAATATGCCACCGTGTATATCTAAGATTAAAGCTTTATTTTTAGAGGCCTGTAATCCTTTCAAGGAGGTTTTGTTGATATAAGACTTCATTGGAAAGTAATTGTGGATTGTACAGCTCTGACCTTTACAGAAAGCAGGGTGTGGGTCTGTACAGCTGAGAAATATTTCTTGTGAAGCCCCTGCAGACTAGCTAAGTATGCTAAGTTCAAGAATTTATTTAAAAGGTTACAATTAGTGGTTCAGTCGTCAAAGCTGGGGACGTGGTATTTTCATACTAAGTGAAATACACTATTTAAATATATTTTTAAAATAAATAAATAAAAAAGAATAAGGCCAGGCCTTCTACACAAATTGGAGGCAGCTAAATGCTCTTTTGTGCCTGCAGCTCTAAGGAGGCTGTGATGCATGTGAAGGAAAGTGACTGACTTAACTCATTGGGATTCAGGGAACGGCCTGCCCTCTTTTGGAAAAAAAAAAAAAAAAAAAAAAAAAAAAAAAAAAAAAAAGGCAAGAAGAAGAAGAAAAGTAAGTGTGTATGTGTGTGTGTGTGCGTATTCGTGTTCGTGTATGTGTGTGTGTGACAGGGAGAGAGGAAGAGAGAGAGAGGAGGGGGAGATTCACAGAGTCCTGCTTTCCTGAGCTGAGAGCTGCTGGTTCCCAAGCCGAAAGTATTAGGAGAAACACGGCTTCTTGTGTGTTTGCTGCATTTACACAATGAAATCACTTCTATTTTTATTCCTGCTAACCGGCCGCTTTTGCTTGAATCCACTCAGAGCCATGGACGACAGAAACAAAAAAAAAAGTACTTAAAAACAACTAGACAAAAAAAAAGAGGGAAAGAAAACCTTAACAAACCCAACCACGCTGGGATGAGGATTACTCACTTTAGCGCTGCCTGTAAGTACAAAGTCTCTTGCTGCATTTCAGGGCGATAGTGACAGGCTGTTTTTTAGGTTGGGGTTGCTGGGGTTTGTTTTGATTCTGTGTTTTTCTCCCTCTTTTTTTTCTTTTTTCTTTTTTCCTTAAATATGTCATCCCCTCTTTTTCAGTCTTCTGCGGGTTTGCTAAAATAAGAAAATAAAAGCGGGAGAGGGAGAGGGGCGGGCGGCTGAGCAGAGCGCGGTGTGGAAGCAGAGCGGCAGCCGGGGGCGCGGGGCTCCGCGGGCGCGGAGGAACGCCCGGTGCCGGCAGTGAGAGGGACAGAGGGGGACAGAGGGCTGTGTTCTACATCACTTCGTGGGCTTGGATGGATTCAATTTTATTTTTTTTTTTTTTGGCCCGGGAATATGCACGCCTGTTTGTGTACATACACATCCCCAGGCAGCGTGGTCTGCTTGGGTCTCTGTAGTGCAACTTGAGTCCGCCCAGCTCGAAGGAATGCGGTGGTCAAAACAGCTTTCCAGCTGTTTGGTTTTTTGGGATTCCAACCTCCCCCCCCCCCCCCCCCCCCCCCCCCCCCCCAGGCACACTCCTCAAGTGTACATGTGATGGTGTTACTTTTCCGTGGCAGAATTTGCTTAAAATAAACTGTCTCTAGCACGCCTAGCCTAGTCGTTTTTCTCCCCCTCCCTTTCCTCCTTTCTTTCTTTATTTCTGTGAGAGCGCTCCTGGGAAAGCGGATCGGATAGAGGGCAAGGCTTTTGAAATCGTGGGGGAAAATGTAAGAGAATTCAGAGGGTCCGGGCTTTCTTTGTGTGGTGCTGAAGCCGCGGAGCTGCTTTGTGCTTTGGAAGGAGAAAATGGCGAGTCCTATTGTGTTTAGGCCATTTTCTTCCGGTACAAGGGTTTCCCCCCAAATCCTAAATACTTCAGGGCTCTTTTGAAAGAAATCTCCCAGCCTACGAAGTGTGAATGGCTTCAGCTCTGCCTTTTCCCCAGCCGGTAGCACATCACATTCTAGAGAGCCCACACATTTCTCTTTGCAGGGCTGGTGCACAATTTCTAAAGCTGCTGCATTCAGAGCCTCTTGCAGCGTCGGGGCTATTTCAGCTGCTCTTTGCCCGAGTTATTCAGCTCGGGGAAGCACGTTATGATCGAGAAAGAGGGGGACTGATAAATAATATTTCGAGACCTGTCCTTGCTTTTAAATGCTAAGGAACAGAGTTAGCCAATTGTGTGTGTGTGTGTGTGTGTGTACCTGTGCGTGTGTGTGCGTGTGTCTGTGATCTGAGAAAAGACTTGTCAACGACAACGCCTGACTTTTCCCCTAAATTATTTAAAGTTTATGTATATATACATGTATGTGTACGTGAGAGAGAATGTATCTCCGCGCACGCATGTAGCTAGGTAGGAAGATCTTTCTTTTAGGACCAGAAAGAGGCCATATATATGCAAAGTGATATTTTAGAGGATATTTAACCACTGTGTGCAAGTTATTAATGCTGCAACCTCTAAAGGAAAAAAAAGTAGTTTACAATGTTGTCAGTTCTCTTCAGGTCATCCGGTAGGTAGGTACCGGTTACTAAAAACCGCGTTTGAATTTGCATGTTAATCCATTTAAGGAAACAAATAAGAATCCGAGGTTTAAAGACTGTTGTCCGATATTAACCACTTTACATTAGCATGTGGGTTTGCCCAGGCGCCAGTGATTAAAAGCTCTTTGAAAAAAGACAGCTAACAAATAAAGCCCAAGAAAGGTAAATCCTCACTACCAGAAACAACTCCTTCCAAGGTGCTGAATTTAAAAAAAAAAAAAAAATTAATAGTAACAACAACAACAACAACAACAAAGCAGAGGTGTTGATGGGACTGCCGCGGAGGGTGGCAGGCTCCCCGGCCCCGCGGCCGCCCGGGCCGCGCTGGCGCGGAGGGGCGCGCAGGGCCGCGGGCGCGGCGGCCGGAGCAGCGCCCGCTGCCGCAGGCGGGTCAGGACCATGGACAGGGACCGGGAGAGGATGGAGCCGGCTGGTGTCATCCCGGGAGAGGGGACAGAGCGGGGCTGTCGGCCCCCACGGAACGCCGGGGCCTCGAGCTGCTCTGTCTTTCTTGTTATCCCTCTCGTGTGCTTGCTCAAGATTCTAGGCAAAAGACTCGAGAAATTACATTCATAATTCTGCTGCAGGAGAGCAAGCTCTGTTAAAATGCCATGCCAGTGATTTCTCTTCTTACTGCTCGCAAAAGAACTAAAAGGATCTCTCCATTCTGCATACGATTGCTTTTTCCCTTCAACTCCGAGCCAAAAATAAATCTACTGCTCGGATCGGCTGAATGACAGTGGTGTAAATTAAATTGATTTTATCAGTGACCAAGTTCCACAATTGGAAAAATTAAATGCCACTTTGACAGACAAGGATAATATGGAACAGATCTATAAAACAGCTCCTTTGAACAACAACAACAACCCAACAGGAGCCTAGATACTGGCGATCCCTTCTTCATCCTGCTCCGTTATGTCACATCGTCTAGTTTGCCTTTCTGCAGTACCGAAATGATTGAAACCATTGTTTGATGCAAAGGGAGTAGTGATGATGAGTCATGGACTTTATGCCACAGCAAAAGCAACAGACGTGGTTCTCAGGCAAATTTCTTTTTTTATTTTGATCGCGCTTCTAATTGGATTCCCCTTTCAGATGTACTTTGCGGCACTTCCAACCCACCCTACAGCTCCAGCAAACTCGGGGCTGAGCCACGGGAACGGCGAGCCGCTCTGCCTCCACCCAAGAACTGCAGAAACGCAACCTCCAAGTCCTTTAGCCGGGAGAGCCCTACCCCAGCGCCTGCCGCCGGGCGAGAGGAGGCCTTGAGCCCCCTCAGCGCTCCCTGCGTGCCCGGGGGGGTGGAGGGAGAGGACCCGGAGGGAAGGGGGAGGGTTGAACTTTCTGCCGGGCTCGGCTTTTCACACCTTTCTCTCCCGATGATGCGTGAGGACGTTTTGGGAGAGAGCGGCTCGGCGGGGTCCCCTCCGACCAGGTCCCCCTCGACCTTGCAGGGACCCGGCCGGGCGGCTCGGGTCTGGGATTGTGCCGGGTTTCAAGGACACGGGAGATGATCAGGACTTTGGGAGCCAACATCTGCCTGGCTGGTGACGTCAGCAACCCCGTGTAATCCTCTTGTACTGAAGGCAGATGCCTTATTTGTTTGGCTGGAGAGGCATTAATCCCTAATTCTGGAGCAGCAAGCGAGGGGGAGAGACCGGACCGCTTCCTATCCCCCGAAAGCAGCTAGAGGGGCTCTCCTCTCCTGCGCTCCCCGGCTCCGACTGGGTGGAGGAGCCGCCAGCCCTCGGCAGGTTTGACCATTTCCTTTTGATTGTGATTATCTTTTTTGGTATTTGGAGTGGGTTCCTATTTCTTGTTTTTATTTGGATGCTTGGATTTCTCCCTATGATTCTTTGCTCTAGTACAGTCCTCAAGATGAAAAAGAAGGGGGAACTGCTGTTCCCCACCCCCTTCACAGTCCTTTAATTTTTTCTCTTTTTTTTTCTTCTTCTTTTTTTTTCTTTCTTTTCTTTAAGCTTTGCCCTGTGCTTGCTCTCGGGGGATTTTTGCAGCGGTGGGCAGGGAGGTTGCTCTCTGCGGTTCCCCGCGGCTGGCCCGTTCCCACCGCGCTGCAGGGACCGAGATGCCCGCTCTCCCTAGCGCTGCGGTGATGGGCGTTCCGCCTTCTCCGTCCTCGGCCGCGGACCAAGCAGCCCCACAGGCTCGGGTCTGGCCGACCCCAGCTTCGCGTCAGTCCGTGTGGCCCCCCTTCCCTTCGCTTCCTCCCCTTCCCCTTTCCCTCCCCGCCCTTCTCCTGCTCTGACTCCCCCCTCTCTCCCTTTTGTCATTGGCAACCGCGCGGCGTGCGGGCTCCCGGCGCCCTTCCCTCCCCGCCTGCCTTTCCTTTCCTCCCCGCCTGCATTTCTAACGCTCTTGCTTTGTCTGTTTTCCAGGCGGCCGCACGCAGGAGCTACGGTGCCGAGGGGGTCCGAAGCCGCCTTCCCAGTTTGCCCCCGGATGCCCCGGGAAGATACGGGAAAAGTCTCTGAGAAGCCCAGCTCGCCGCAGGATCCCGACCGCCGCCTGCAGCCGCAGCACATCCCGCTTCGCCTCCTCTCTCTCTCCCGGGCCCTGGCGCCGAGGAAGCAGTCGAGGTCAGCTGCCCGGTTCCTGGGGTCCGGCCGTGCTCCAGCCCGCAGGGCGATGCAAGGTGCCCGGCCGCTCCGCTCCTGCCCGGCGCGCCGTCGGCACCCAAAAGGAATGGTCCCGATCCTGAGCCGTGAAAGATGGCAAAAAGCGTAATAATAACAATAAAAGATTAGGCTAAATTTTTTTAAATTATTGTAATGACTTCACCCCTTATTTCCTCACTCGCCAGTTCAGTGTAGGCAAGCCAGATGGGCTGCCCAGACCCTCCCGGGAAAGGGGCAGGTGCGAGTGAGTTAAATTTTTTTCTGCTTTACAAAGAAAGATGACACGTCCTGCCCTTTCATTTTTCATCGCCGAAAGATCCCCTCTTTCAACCCCCCGCCCTCCCCCTGGCCGAGGGCAGCGGGGATGTTCTGGGGGTGCGGGCTCCCCCCGCCCGTGCTCCAGGGGAGCCGCAGAACCAGGAGGACCGAGACAGCGGAAAGACATGGTCATTCCTCTCAGCCAGGGATGCCAAATGACAGACGCCGAGTCGGGGAGAGTCAACTCCTGTGTTTAAAATCACGCGAAGACGCTGGTGAAATTAAAGCAGTCATCTGGAATTGTTCAATAGGCACACGCTTATATTATATATATTTTTAATCGATTAAATACATATTTAACAGCTTCCTGAGCACTGCAAACAACAGACTGGCTAGTAAGAAAACTCGAGCATGAGTTATATGCAGCCTGGGCCGGAATGGGACTAGGGCGGAGGGAAATTACCGGGTTGTTTTTTTTTTCGGGGATCAGTTGCTGTACTGCTGAGAGAGAGAGAGAGAGAGAGAGCGAGCGAGAGAGAGCGCTCTAAGGCTCTGACTCTCCGTGTTCACAGCGGACCTTGATTTATAATGTCATACAATTAAGGCACGCGGTGAATGCCAAGAGCGGATCCTCAAAGCAGCATGAAAGATCTCGCTAGACCATACCAGAATAATATTAATAACAAAAATAATTGCAATGAGCTTAAAAAAAAAAAAAAGAAAGAAAAAGAAAAAGAAAAAAGGAATGAAAGAAAAGGAGAGACAAAGCAATAAAGAGCTCGACAACCTGTACTCACCTACGGGAACCAGACTAACTAGGACTGGTGGACTGATTGGCTCAGCCCGGTGGAAAGGAGATGCCGCTGCCACGGGACGGGCGCCCGCGGGGGCAGCTGTCAGCAGCAGGTAACGGGGCCGTGGGGGGCTACTGGAGCGGTGCGGTAGCCGCGGTGGTTTTTCAAGGTAGTGGTGACTCGACCTCTCGCTTTCTTGGGCTGAACCATGTAAAGTCGATTAATGGGAAATAAATACATTTTCTAATATTATCATGGCGAGGATTGTTCTTTGCGCATCGCTCAGCCGGTAGCTAGGAGTGCCCGCTCGGTGATGGCTCCTCCTCTCGCGGGGCTCCTCTGGAAGCCGAGGAACGCGCGCCCCGGGCAGCGGCGCGGTGCGCGGGGGCAGCGGAGCAGCGGCCGAGCCGCGGGCCGCGGAGGCAGAGCCATGTGCAGAGCTGGTGCACGGGGCGGGGGTGCCCGAGGCGCCGCGGGGGCACTGCAGCAGAGCCATGTGCGGAGAGGCAGCTTGGATGCGCGAAGAAGAGCGTGCGGAGGTTGCGAGGGAGAAGCGGGGAGGGGGAGCAGCGTACGGGCACGGTGTGTGAGAGCGGCGCGGAGCGGCGCCGGCGGGCAGCGGAGCGGCGTGCGGGCTTTGCGCGCCGGCCCGGGCGGCGGGGCGAGGGGCTCCGCTGGCAGCGGCGGCGGTGGCCGGGCCAAGCCGGAGGGTGCGGGGAGGGTGCGGGGGCGGGGAGGGGAGAGGCCGGGGTCCCCGCGCCGCCGGCGGCGGAAGTCTTTGTTCCGCGGGGCCTCGCCGGCGGTGGAACAAAGGAGCGGCAGCGCTGCTGCCGGCGCTGTCCCTGGTGCTGGCGGAGGCACCGCGCTCCCGCCGCGGGCCGCCAGACCCCTCGTCCCGGGTCGGGCAGACGCGCCCCGGTGGCACCGGGTGGCCCCCGCCGTGGGACCGTTCCCGGCTGAAGAAAACCCAGCATCCCGGCGGGAGCGAGCGGCGAGCAAGGCAGGGGTGCGGGAACGGCAGGAGAGCGGCTCGGCCTGAGCCTCCTCCGCTGCGCAGTGCACGGCCGCTGCCCCGAGCGGGTGCCCCCCGCGCATCCTTCCCGCCGAGTCCCTCCCACCCCCCTCTGAAACAGCCGGGTTGGAAGCAAGTCCTGCGGGGGCTCTGTCCAGCTCCCATCCCAACTGCGTCCACAGCCATCTGCCGCGGCCTAATTCTGCTCTTCATCCATCAAACAGCGGCCACAGCCAGCCAGGGCACGGGATGCTCTCAAAGGCTAAATAAGGCAAAACAACTAAATAACAGCAGTAACCACAAGAACTGCAATGATAACAGCACTCTCTGCCTGAAGGTCATAGAGCTTTGTCCTCTTTCTGCTTGTTCTCAGCAGACAGCCTGACAGCAGTGGGGTTTTTTTTTACCAAAAACCGGATTGCAGATTGGACTGATCACCCTTCTCTGCAAAGGGATAAAGGGGGAGAATTCTTGTTCTTTCAGCAGCCTGTCGCCTCTTCATCCCTGTGTAGTCACCCTTGCACTGTCCAGCAGACAGATGAAGCACATGGGCTACTCCATTATTTCCCTTCAGCTCACTGAGTTGGGGTTGAATCTTTTGCCTGCTCCTGCCATGCCACACAGCTGCTGTCTTTATTCTTTTGAGATATCTGTTCACATATACACATCTACCTATACACGTATAAGCACATTTCATGTTTTCTATGTAGCATCAGACTCTCACAATTTCTGTTCATCACTGCTTCTTGCCCTTTGTAAGACCCGGCACTTCACAGGATCTCAGGGGAGCCAAGCAGAGAACAGAGGAAAGTCCATCTTTGCCTGTTCGTGTGCAAGCCAGGACGATGCACAGCAGAGACTGACCTCACACAGGTAGAGAGCGGGGAAGTATTTTAAATGCCTTGTGTCCTGAGCGACCTGAAGCACTCAGTTAAACTGTTTGCAGGATTACAAACATGAGCTAACCAGCTTTGCACTGAGGCAGTATTTGCCCACATTTTACTTTTTTTTTTCCTTGGATATCAGTGCTAAAGATTTGTTATAAACATTCTATAGTTCTGTAGCAAAATAAACATAAATATGTAAATGAATTTTCCACCACCAATCCCTCAATGTAGCTTTTAAGATATTCTGTAGAGCCTGAAAAGAAATAAAACTTACTTTGGAATAGGTTAAGCTTTCTTTTGGAAAGCTTACAGAGACAGGGAACCTTTCTTGCCTTCTAAACTACAATAGCAGTAATAGCAATGGTGATGAAGATGACGGAGCATGTAAAAAAGGGATGCAATGAAAGTCTGAAGACCCAGGTGATGAACTGTGTCATCTAGAGACATACGTTCCCATTCCGATGTCATATTGCTGTCGTAGGCACATTGAGGTTCTGGTGGCGGCATCTGAAAGTAGCCAACATTAATATTCACCACTTTCCTTCCTGCTCTGAAAAAGGAATGAAAACTCTGCTCTCAGCAATTTTTCTTGGGGGTAGCCTCATTTCTGAGACTACCTCAGTCATAGCTCCCCACAGAGAGGAGTGGCGAACGCTGCCTGCCCGCCTCCCCTTGAGACAGAAGACAGCTATGTCCCCCCTCCCCCCCGCCTTTTTTTTTTTTTTTAAAGCTATTTTTCCTTTTTCCCTCCTCAAACGACTCCCAGCCAGAATCCCGGGAGGAAAGCCTGTCCCCAGGGCTGCCGGGGCTGCCCCCGGCAGGGCCGGGCGGGCAGGGGGACGATCCGCCAGTTTCTTCTCCTCCTCCTCCTTATCTTTCTCCTCTTCCTCCTCCTCCTCCTCCTCCACCGCCCACTGGCGGCCCCCGCACTGCCGCGCCCCCTGGCGGCCGCGCACGGAGCCGCGCCCAGCGCAGCGCAAATCCAGCGCAATCCCTGCGCATCCAGCGCATCCAGCGCAATTCCTGCGCGGCACAGTGCAGCGCAAATCCAGCGCAATCCCTGCGCGGCGCAGTGCAAATCCAGCGCAATCCGTGAGCGGCACAGTGCAGCGCAAATCCAGCGCAATCCCTGTGCAGCGCAGCGCAAATCCAGCGCAATCCCTACATGGCGCAGTGCAGTGCTGCCCCCACGGTGGAACCCAGGAAACTTTGAGTATCAACCACCTCGAAGCAACGTCCCGAATAAAAAATAACTTCCAAGCGTCAAGCGCACGTCATTCTAGGTGTTTTGCGATGTAGATCGTGAGAAGCGATGTTTTCATCGCTTCCCCGTGGGAATCAAGGCTATCTGTCTCATTTAAATTCAGAGCTATTGAGTATCATCTGTGGCGTGAAAATATAAAGAAAGGGAAATGAACTACTACCTGCTTACTGCAGCTGTTGAGGCTGTCTGGGACATCGGTCTCACTCAGGGATAAATTAGAGCAAGAGGCACAGTCAAAGTATTGGCCAGTTTAAGACACAGTGTTTCTCAAAAAGTTAAAAGCCTTTAATTTAGCTTTTGAATTAGGAACATTAAATACCGACATTTCATTTTGTTTCACGTGTCCTCCTGTACTCAAGGTGCTGGCTAAGAAAGGCGTAGAGCACAGGTAAGTCAGGCAATAACCAAAGCAAGCCCTGCAGCAGAATAAGCACTGTCCCACTGCCTCCATCCTGCAGAGCTGCGCCAGAAGCAGGATCTTCCCCAGTCCCACAGATAAGCAGAGGACAAGTGACCTGTCTGGTGCTTCAAGGCCTGGTGCACAGTGACTGCCACGGGGTGAGAGCCAGCCAGCAAAGGTACGACATAAAACTAATTTTCACACTCTGCACAAAATTCCTTGCATTTCTTTTTGTATTACTTAACTCATCTGATCAATTACCGCAATAACTCAGGATTGAGATAATAGAGACAGCAATTTGCAGTCTAACGTGAATTAATTTTCACTTAATCTGGGACTGCTTTAATAGCACGGTGGGCATTAAAAGCCCCGTGCTTTTAATACTAAATATTTGTGCATCAATACTCAATACTAAATATTTGTGCATCAGAATAGTGGTAAGAAAATCTTACTAGAGAAATCGCATAATTGGAAAACAGAAGAAATACCAAATCTTAAATACACTGCTAGTATGAAATATTTGAAATTGTAAATTAAGGACAATTTGATTAGCACCAGGAAACTATTAAATTAACAGATGTACTGTTCATGCAAAGGTTGGTTTATCATTTGCTGTATTAGAGTAATTCTGTTCATTAAGCGATTAAGTACAGGTTGCACATTAAATAATATGAACTGAAACACACACTTGATACTCGTAAAAAATACTTCAAATGCAATCTAAGCTTTTTAACTCCATCACTGACATGTTTTGCCTAAGTTTCCTGTATAAAGAGGTGAAAAATAAAACTCTGTACACAGGAATTTACTAGTGTGTATTTGAACTGATCTTAATTATTGCAGCTGATAAATAGGCTGGTAAGCAAGGTAATAACTTCATTTGCTTAAGATTTTTAACAAAGAATTACAGAATTATCTGAAGTATCTTCACAATACTTGGAACAAGGAAATGACTAACACATGTAAGTCTTCCTGACTTCAGAGGGTTATAGCTCAACACTATATCGAGGGTTATAGTTCAACACTATATAATTTTGCACAATTTGTATAAAATAACTCTGCAGTCTTTTTTGAACCTAAAACTTATGCCATGCATCATTCCTGTCTCACAAGCTAGACCTATTAGAGTTATTGAAAGCATTTTTAGACCATTTAGAGATTTATGATTTGATTTACTGTTCTACATCCAGGGTGTGATACATTCAATTGAGAAAACATTTTTTAATGAATGTACAGGTCCCTGTAAAAGCTCTTACCTTCACACTTTTGTTTTTCAAATCTAATTAAGAACTTTTTACTATTTGTTCTTCTTTAGAAAATTTACATTCAGTCTACTAATATTTGTAGATAAAATGAAAAGACCGGCTTTTCATTATATCCACAAATCTAGACAGCAAATCTAAAGGCACAACCTTCACATTTTTTACTATGGACACTTCCAGGTAATCCACAGACTGGATAAAGTCCATTAAAAATCAAGGGCACTAGTTCTTTCAAGAGAGAAAAATTGGGATATACCTGACTTCTATTAAATTGAACAAAAGTATAAAAAAAATATGTAGCTGTCACTAATTAAAGCAATAATTAGTGACATGTTGACCCATTTTAAAGTTTTATAGTTCTTCATCTCTCCTCTGCAAAGGATTCTAAAAGCCAATCAGAAGAAATAATTTCCTTTAAAAGAATGCC